GCAGCGGTGGCTCCGCCCCCAGCGAAGGCTCCGTCAGCAGCGGTGGCACCAGCGGTGGCTCCCTCAGCAGCGGTGGCACCAGCGGTGGCTCCGTCAGCAGCGGTGGCACCAGCGGTGACTCCGTCAGCAGCGGTGGCACCAGCGGTGGCTCCGTCAGCAGCGGTGGCACCAGCGGTGGCTCCGTCAGCAGCGGTGGCTCCGCCCCCAGCGGTGGCTCCGTCAGTAGCGGTGGCGCCAGCGGTGGCTCCGTCAGCAGCGGTGGCACTAGCGGTGGCTCCGTCAGCAGCGGTGGCACCAGCGGTGGCTCCGTCAGCAGCGGTGGCACAAGCGGTGGCTCCGTCAGTAGCGGTGGCACCAGCGGTGGCTCCGTCAGCAGCGGTGGCACCAGTGGTGGTTCCGTCAGCAGCGGTGGCACAAGCGGTGACTCCAACGGCAGCGGTGGCACCAGTGGTGGCTCCGCCCGCAGCGGTGGCACCAGTGGTGGCTCCGTCAGCAGCGGTGGCACCAGCATAGGCTGAATCCAACGGCAGCGGTGACTCCAACGACAGTGGTGACTCCAACGGCAGCGGTGGCACCAGTGGTGACTCCAACGACAGCGGCGACTCCAACAGCAGCGGTGACACCAGTGACAGCGGTGACACCAGCATATTAAAATAATTCATTTAAGAGGGCCCAAGCTGGAACTTAAGAATTACCATCAATATGGACATAGTTTTAAGTTGAAGCCAGAGAAAATTGATTCAGTGTTTCAAGCAGATGCAAATTGATCCAACTGACTCACCAAAATATTCTTGCTGTAGAAGACTTTCAGTAGCAAATAATGTTTCCTTTTGGAAAGCTAGGTGCTGATCCCTTGGCTAGAGAAAAAAAAACTACCTGTCAACAATTACTTTGATTAAAACGTGCCTTAGACAATAAATAGATATTTACATTAACATTTGGGTCCTTTCATAGAAAAGAGCCATATCATGCCCAGAATACAACATACCAAGCATGAGCTCCGAAAACTAGTCAAGATTATACATATAAACCGATCGGAGTTGTCTAACTGATAAAAGAATCATAAGATTGTAGCTTATGTAGATACTTAATGATAATAATTAATATATCCCAATGGATTTCTGATAGATATATACATACTTACTACAATATATCACGCTACAAATAGGATAACTGGCGGCAATTGTACTGTTAAATTACATCTAATCTTACTCTAAGCCGTCAAATAGAAGCATCTTAAAGAATCAATATTCAAGATATCAATATTCAAGATGACGAAGAAGGTAGGGCATATCTAGATTCTAAATCCTTTAGTAAAGGTAAAGAATACTTCTTATAATCGTCTACTAGTTAAATTACTAGTCTTTTATTCGTTATAGACATTGTGGCATTGTGCCAGGAGCAGAGTTAACTGAGTACATCCTCATAAAATCCATTATCATTATTAAATGCAAAGCTGTATTCACACAAAAACTAAAGTAGGGATAATGTCAATAACTATTCTTAATTGATAGCGATGGAAAATATGTTCAAGCTTTACGAACATTGTGTGATGTAGTACTTGTGCTCATATAACCAGGAAATATGCAATAAATAGTGATAGATGAAGACAGCAGTTTCCGCTTCATTTCTTCCATTGGTGTGTAAACTTACCTATATAAGTATTTCTTAGTACAAATGTATAAGGTAGAATGAGGAACCAAAACACCAGAAAAGAGAGGCACAACTATCGTATTCTGCTTTGCTGTTATCATCAAATTCAGTGTATCTCTTTATTAACAATAGAAATTACAATGATCTCAATCTAAACACAATATATTTCTCTCATACTGTAGTATAGTATTTACTGACACTGCTGTCCCTGGTGCTGAATGACATTCACACTGACATAAATCTAAAAGCAATCCGCATCATATGGACCCCAGTTTGCACCGAAAATAAAAGAAACCCGTCAAACCCACTGCATGAGCTACAACTGTGAACACACGAAACAATTTAACCGAAAAAAGTTACCCTTCCGCGGAAGGATATCTCCTTCCTCGGACGTAAAACAAGTTGTCAACAGGTGCCTTCGGCCATTATAACGTTATATCACATCTTCTCAAATTGCTCAGTATTTTTACACCACCAGCTGAAGCAACTCAATGTCTTCAACTCAAGTTAATGTAGCCCGTAACGTTACCTTTGGGCTGTGCATAGCAATTCGGTAGAACGTCTAATGCTTGTTGAAGCAAGGAGTTAAAAAAAGCTGACCCTCAAGTTGGCTTTAAAATGTCGTATAATTTTCGCGCATTTATGCATTGACATACCGACTATAGTTTTCAAATCAAATGTTCTGTTAAAAAAAACATATTTTCTATGACTGAAAAATTTCTGACTTTGACTTTCCAACGAAAGGCGCGAAAAAAAAAGAACCCGGGTTCCGCGCAGGCGCAGTACGTTCTGATAAATATAGAACCTTTAAGGTCAAGGGGCAAAGTTCAAAGTGTAGCTGGGGGCGTTGCCATTCTTGCTTGAGTGCAGTCGAACCGCAGGTCACCGTAGAACGCGTTATTCTCTAAGATACGGCGTTTGCCGGGTCACGATTTGACCCCGTTGCATGGGTGTAAACAACTGCCAATAGTGCAGCAAAAAGACCTCAGACCTACACAATGTTTACATTTTTTCACATCTACAGGATTTGCCCAGTACAACCATGTAGATATTTCGTGTATTGCGAAAATGACAGCGAGCGCTACGGCCTTCCAAGAATTAGCAATTTTTGGTCAGTTTGTTTGTGCTTGTCTTTTTTACTACTTAACTGGATCCCGTTGGCTAATACCACATTGTGATAGCCCACTTCTTTACCTTTACATTGATACCAATGACCCCTGGTAAATTTTATGGCAAACGGGTTTGCCCCCAAAAAAACTGTGACGATGCGCATATCGCGGTGGTCAAATTTAGCCCAGTTGTAAGCTACGGACACACACCATCCTGAGTTTCCGCTACATTTTGATACATTTTCGCGTAATGTCATAAAATTCGTTTCTTGGTATGAGAAACTGTATGAATGTGGCTATCACATGCAATATAATAAGTGATATGATAACATTCAAGTATATACAAAAATAGGAATTTAATACAAGGTTCTGACCATTCAAAAATCGTCAAATTTGAAGTCAATCGGTTTCGAACTCCTGCGTTCGATCCATGGAACCAAGGCAGCGCGTTCCATTTTTCGCGCCGCCAACAATGTTGCAACTTTCAACCGCTGTTTGCGAAAGGTCATGAAAAGAAGGAATCGAGTTTTTTCATCACAAACAGACTTTCTGAAACCCATTCCAAGTAAGACTTATATCATGAAGACGCTAGAGAAAGTGGGATTCTTGTGCAACTATACAAATGTCAGTACATATGCCCGATGTTTGTATATTTACAGTAACAGGTCATAGTGTCCGATTTCTCCTTCAAAAATTAGGTCATGAAAAATCAACCTGTTGTTGTATTTGTTCATGCCAAAATTCCCTCTCTTCTGTTTTCACCCGTAAAGTGGGTATCGTTTTGAAGCTTACTATTTGGTTGATATTCTTTCACTTTCATTTTTGTTCTATATAACTTTTAACAGAACATTTTTGAAGGCAAAGAAACTGTAAAGAAATTACACTTTTTCTCAAGGTCGAGCTGCAATACACATTGTGCAACTTCAAAACTAAGTACACGGGTGTCAAGCCAACATAACTATATTTCAGCCACATCTTACATTCCAGGTGTATTGGTTAGAACTAGTTGCAAAAGCTTGCGATTACGAACAAAAATCGTTGAGAATTCGACTAAATGAGCCCAACTTACTATCGGTTATTATATTGTAACAACTACAGGATCCCAAAAGAAACAACACACGATAGATGAGGGAGGGTCTATACTTTATTAAACAATACACCAAATCGACGATGAAATAGGGCAAACGGGTTTGCCCCCCAAAAAACTACTCGAGTGGAATGATCTCCATCATGCACGGTCAACTTTGAAACCTCGTTTCTCCAACAAACACTACCGGTAATGTTCATCTACGACCTTGAGCGTGACGCCGGCTCTTCTTACATCTCACGTTAACGTATGACAAGGAAACACTTACGCAAAGCGAAGTTACAAGCGAAACAGTAAACAGTAGCAAACTCTCGCGGATTCTCGCGGATCACATTACCTTGGAAAAGAAGCGCGAGATTTAAACGAGATCTTAGAGAGAGCTGCGCAGAACCGATGCGCACAGCCGTCTGCGGTTCGACTGATCCGAAATTGCGCAAGAGGGCGTTGACCCCTGACCCATTGGCCCACCCGGAAGTTGGCTGGCTGCGACCCGCGCGACCATTTTCACACTCGATACCTGAAACCCCCCTCTCACCAGATGTGGACGCAACCTACGACACTTTATACACGCCGAAAACCAAAAGACAAAA